ACGTTTCGCTTTTATTTAAGCATTTAAGCACCATCAAAGATACAAATAACAGTATCAGTTACCAAAGATTCTAATTAATATGCAGTTAGTTAAATGAGGCAATTATCCAATCAGGGTGAAGTGGTATCATGGTGAGAAAGTATATTGAAAATAAACAGTTCTGGGACAAAGATTACCAATTGTAGATTAGGGCAAGTTATCAATGTTAGAACCAGGTGGCAACTTTTACTAAGAATGTTGTGGGGTAAAGCATTATCGCTAATTTGGTTAAAATTTCCTCCAATAAAAGTGAGAAAAATATTTTAATTATCTGCAGATAAACCCGTAGCTGATCTAGGAATTCAAAATAGTGGGAGCCCAGGGAGGAACTACTCAACCATGGTGCTGCTGAGTTAAAAAATATAATTACTTTGGCACCGTAAATGGCACTCTCGTGCTTAAATTTGAATATAATTTTCTTTCGGCGGGTTGGCTGCCCCCACCCCCTTCCTTGAATCCGCTACAGTAAACTACTATTGATTTACTGTAAGCCCGGTTATTTATATCTAGACCAGTGGCGTATCTAGCAATTTTAAGACTCTTTGATACGCCAATGATCTAGACTAAAACGGACATCAGTGACGCAAAATCTTGGGAATGCATCTTATTTCTTGTATAGCGGATAATAGCGCACTGATAGCTTTTGGAGCAAGTAAATATTGAATTGAATGGATAAGTACTGTATTAAACCTATCTGACTGATTAATGTAATTGAAGTAGGCCTGCAAGGGACCGCTCTATCCAAGTGAAGTATTTCACGTCCATACCTGCCGATTAGGAAATTGGGTTTACTGCCAGAAATCAAATAATGTAGATAAATAATTAAATTTGCAATAGTGCAAGCGAATGATGAAGATTTGTGTGCGTTTGTATCATTGAGATTAATTGCGTTCAGCCATCGATTATTTGGCGCCGGTCGGAGCACGTTGATTAAAACAGCATGTACCCGGGCTATCAAACTCAAACAAATCGGGAAAATATCTGTTACAATTCTAGTCTACAATCAGTTTGAAAGCGAGTATCATACATAGGCCACGGTATAGGCGCAAATCTAACCCCCGGGCACTCTCTTTCATACAACTAACCAACTAACTCATACCCTCACACTATTAGATTTTCACCTATACCGATAGGTCTGCTGCAAGTTCGAATCCCGCTACAAACGCTATTTTCATATGTTGTAAATATATAGATACATTTTAAAACGTTAAAGATGAGTAATCTGCGAGTGTGAAATTCGAACCCAGGATCTTCTGCTGAAAATATGTGGGTATATGTATATAACATATGCTTATAAGTGTATACCGCATAGGCCTACATCCCATATTGATGAGCAGATTTCAAATGACCGATCATGCCTAGTTTTTGACTGAATAATATGAATATTGGAAATGATTGTTGTTTTAGGTATCTTCTTATTAATTAATGATGTTTTTTTTTGTTTTTTGTTTTTGTTTTTTTTAGGTTGTATTCTTGTTTTAACTATTGTATATAGCACAGTTTCCCATACTTTTTGAATATGCGGACCCCTCGCGATATGTCAAAAGTCTTCACGGACCCCCATGTCTAAGTATTATATTATTACATTACTAAGATTATATACCGTATCGATATAAGATGATTTGCCACAAAAGTAACACTAAACAGTCGCGCATCCTGAAATGTCAAAATAGAAAGTACCTCAACCCCAACACAGTTGGGGCTCTGATACGAAATATTGTTATGTCGGCACTTGATATCCGGAAATGACACTCTCATGCTCTAGATTTTGATACTGTAAGTTTCTTTTATCCCCCATCTATATTTTTAATTTTGTAAAATTTAAGGCGACTAGCCTACGGTTGATATTCCATCAATAAGATTATAGATAGAAGGTGATTCGCCACAAAATATAACATTAAACAGTGGTGAATCCTGGAATTCGAACTAAAGTGAGGTTAGAAATTCAATTTTACAGATAGAGGTATATCAACTCACTACAAACACTGTCAGACTCAAAATTTGAATGTACTTTTCTTTAAGTTTATTTAATAAGACAACACATATAGGCCTACAAACAATAAGTCTATTACCTGTGGATTGTTACTATTCTACACACTAAACATGTAAAATCTGATATAGGTCTATTCACATTAAAACAAATATAAAAGATTAACAGATCATCAAAAATATTGGAATTAAACTATAATGCCAGTTAAAACAATTTACAGTGAACGAAGTCTCTGTATATTTAAAAGGTATTTCATTATTGAAAATACACCTTATGAATAACAGTATACAATAGGCCTAGGCTATGTTTTTATCACACTGCTGTAAGAAAAGAAAAATAAAGGGATCATGAAAAATTGGTCTAACAATCTAGCGGACCCCCAGATTTTTCGCGGACCCCCAATTTTTTTTTGCGGACCCCTGCGTAATCTTTTGACTTGGCGGACACACAATTAATTGGGAACCACTGCTATAATAGTATTATATTGGTGGTAGTCTTTCTGTTTGTTGTATATAGTATTTTATCTTTCCAGGACCATTAATGAAAACAGCGTTACCATATTGCAAGGAGAAAACATGCTATATGTTATCTTGCCTAAATATGTTTAATAAATAAATGAATACAGTACTGTTGTTTGTTGTATGCTGGAATAATACGTTGTACTTGCGTACCTGCTACACAAATACCAAGATGTAGTTTATCCTCTGCTTCCTGTTTGTCGATATAATTATGTCACCTTTATGATGCTTATATTATGTCATGTTTGTACGCACGTGTGTTTATTACGTCATAACTTTAGACTACTACTCTATTGGCTTTTCCGCTCAGAAGTCTGCATTCAATCCATGCAAACATCCGTATTTTGGTCGAAAATGTTGACATTTACTGCATGCGTCATACTACATTATTTTGTGTACTGTACCTAATTACCTTTCAACGAATGTTTATGAGGGCGCTCGCTTGTCAAGCTATTCTCAACGTTGAATCCTTGAATTTGGAACGAGGAAAATTCTTTTGAAATAGTCACTTTTCTTAACAAGTTTTAAAAATATTTATAACAATATTTATAACAAAGCGTATAAGAATATCAATATAACGATATTCATAATACTGTAAATATTAATAGCCTAAAATAATTACCCCCATCCCCACCTCCCTTCGAGGACTCTTTTCACCTTGAGCTCCGATTAGGAAATATTTTATGACAATATTTAAGAATTGCATATTTGTTTTGCTTCTGACATTTTTAATAAAGCGGGTGTGGCGCTGGGAAGCGCACCACCACTGATTATATACTGGTTTTTTTTTTCATTTTAACATATAGGCCTAATGGTCTTTCTCAGTACGACAATGAACGATAATTCAGGTTGACCGTAAAGGTTTTATATTTGGATAGCTAAAAGTACCGGTAACAACAAAAACAAGAGCAAGACTAAAACAAATTTAAAACAAAACCATGCATTACAAAAGTATAATAGCAATGGTGAAGAAAAGGATTGTCAGAGGTCAGCCAGTAGTTTTTCAGAGATGCAGGCTATAGATCTAAAATAATATAGAATATTTAGGCCTATTTAAAAGTCAAATATTATTTGAAATTCTTAATATGTATACCGTACTGTACTGTATTTATTCGATTAAACACCAGGGACGTTTCATTGTTGAGAAGGGTGTTTGAGGGGGCGTTTATTCGAGGGAGGTAGTTAATTTGTTTGGTGTAAAATGGATAAGTAAGTATCCAAGAAGCCCCCTAATTTTACTGTTAATGTTCTACTGCAGTAAAATTATATTTTTCTAACTTTCTGGTTGGGATCTAGTCTTTATGCTCATACAATAGGCTTACACATTTTGACGGTAATTATGTGTTGTAATTCCACAGTGAAATTAAAGGACGTCTAACTTAGTATGTAGGCCTACGTACCCATTTTACACACTCGGATAACGCGGCCTCTCTCAAATATACACACTCTCAATACAAAAAAAAAAAAAAACAAAAAAAAAAAAACCCTCTCAAAACAAAAAAAAAAAACCTTCTCAACAATAAACGCCCCGGGGCGTCTATTCTAATAAATACGCTATTTGATTCTTTTAAATGAGCTATTCAAAATTTTAATTAGATTTTTGAATTGTTTACCCAGTTAGGTATGTGTCTTTAGATTGAGAGAGATGAGAGGCGGAATTGCCATAGCGACTATCACAATTTGAAACTCCCCCATGGAAACTGAAATTATAGGCCGACCTGTAATTTACGCTGTATAAAGTTTAGTGGATCGCGGAATCTTGAATTTACTATCATATTTTGGAGCAAATATAGGCCACATGGATTGATTATTGATGGGTAAATACGACTGAAAATGTATAAGGTTTAATGGAACCTCGGAATCTTGATTTTACTATTAGATTGTTTAATTATCCTTTTTAACAGATAAATAGGCCTATGTTTATTTGATTGATTGAACGATTGACTATATTTATAATTAATTGATCGAAAACTGAGAGTAAATTTGCTTTGAGTGCATGTACAATTAGAGCCTGAAATTTTCTTAAATATAACACAGCCTAGGTGTAGCAGCACACTAGTAGTAAAGGAAATTGAGAGTCATTGAAAATTACGTTTGATGTGATAATTTTTGTTGTACTGTACCTTTTGTAAATGTATTGGTCGAATAATGAAATGAATGAATGAATGAAATGAATTCAGATTTTGAATTAAATTTAAAATTGTATACTGTATTGCGGGTTTTCTAGATTAACATTTTTTTTACTGATATTAGACGCAAATCGACTAGTCAAAAATCAATTTAAAACAGAAATTGGTCATCGCTTATTCGCTTTGCACACTTTCTGAGCGAATAAGCCAAAATGACTTAAAAAGGCCTTATTTTATTTATTACAGGAAAAGACTACGCATTTCTTCATGGTTCTGAGAGCGCCGCCCCGCGGTAAATTTGCATTAGAAAGGTTGGAAGATAATCACCTATTTGCATATCGGTCAGCCATTTTTATGCGATCTGCAGAACTTCGACTTGATTTTTACGGGCGGTATTTTGAATATAGGAATTCAAAAAATGGATGAGAAGGAAGAATTAACATATCTAGCTAAACTTTCCGAACAATCTGAAAGATATGAAGGTAGCGTCAATGTAAAGAACTGTTTAAGACAGCGATCAATTTCTTCTACTAGGGCCTAGGCTAGGTTAGGCTAGGCTTCTTGAGTACTTCCTCCTGCAGGATTGGTTTTATACAGTGTTCGATTCGCTGTTGCGCTACCTTTGCGGCTGCAAAATGCTAGCCTAGCTATGCCTAGGCCTAGACGAGATTACCGACGAGATACCGGATGAGTCGGCTACCTACTGTAATGGAAATGATATGTCATAGTTTCACAAAAGAGTTTGTAGACTTGCAAATGCATTAATATTATACTATCTCTTACTAGTAACTAGTCTCCAGTAATTGGGGATCATTTGATTTTGCTTAGGTTAGGGCATGGAGTTATAATTATTTTCAATTTTATAACTCCATGGTTAGGGCCTAGGCCTTACATCGGAATTTTTTTGAAAATGTATAGGCCTAGACTAGAGCCAGAGCGGAGAGAAAGTCTGGCAGCAGAAAAAGATGAATTAGCTCCGCTTGCAGGCAGTGAAGCCTATCGTGGGTATCACCATTCTAGTTATTGAGCTAGTGTACTGACTGTGTGCTGTCTGCTTTTTAGTACTCCACCCTACTAAGTACCATAAACATTTTTTAGGCATCATTTTTAAAACATTTTTACTCTACAGGCTTAGGCCTCCATACTGTAGCTTGTTTAGGTGCCCAAGCCTACAGTAGCTAGGCCTAGGCCTAATTCTGAGTTTGACTTTTGTGTGTACACTGAAAGTAGTAGATAGTACTACCTAGTAACTAGTAGCTGTACTAAGTACTAAGCCTTACTACTACCTAAAGGCTAGTCCTTGTGGACAATTTATTAAATTACAGTTGAACTTGCCGACTGTACTGTACTGTAAGTCGAATCCAAAATGCCATTAAAAAATTGTTCGACTTAGATGAAATTCAACTTACAGATTGTTAAATTAAATGAAAACACAACAATTTGACATGCAAAATAAGTGCAACTTCAAAATTAATTTGACTTAGGCAATGTCGACTTAGGCAGGTTTGACTGTATTAATAATTAATAATAATGATAATAATAATAATATTATAATTTGATCTTGATTGAGCTAAAAACCTCAATGCACTATAAATTAGAAATAAAAATCCTGAGTTATTAAAGCAAATATAAATTAAAAAGATGTGTTTTGAATAGTATATGTCATTAATTTTTATTTTATTTATTTATCATAACTACTGTGTACACCATACTACTGTAAAATCGTAACTACTGCTTAAAACATTGGTTATATATTGTTATTCAGATTATGCCTAGGTCAAAGCCCAATTTTTGGCAAAATCTGCTAAAAAATTTGAATGGGAAAAAAAAAATTCTCCATTAACAGACATTTATAATACATTACCTGTATTCCTTTTTATTTTAGACCCTATAATATTGGCTGGTATTCAATTTATAGATTATTGTAGTAAATATTTCTGTTAATCAACTAAAACTATTTTGAAAATCAGTTTCTGATAATAATTTTTAATCTTTTTTACATGAAGTATTTAATATTTTTTTAATTGAATTTCTGAAGATTTTTCAATTTGTTTTTGGCAGACAGTGCATCTTTCAAATATCTTGCTTTATAAGATTAATCTGTGTTTTTATAATTTATTTTACAGCAATGGTTTCTTATATGAAGGAACTGGTGGAATTAAATAAGAAACTGACTGAAGAGGAACGAAACCTTCTATCTGTAGCTTACAAGAATGTGATTGGAGCTAAGCGCTCGGCATGGCGAATTATAAGTAGCATAGGAATGAAGGCCGACGACGAATCAAAAGTTGAAGTTACAAAAAATTACCTTAAGCAGGTATGTAATGTAATGTACTGTAGTTGCCTTTATATGGCACTTTATACCTAGGTCTCAACAAAGCGCTTAAGGTGTGAATAGTAACTCCTTGCTCCTCCCCAAAGGGTCTCTTGGTGTCTGAGCTACCCAGTAAACCACTCTCATCTGTCCACAACAGGGCCTGAATGTACCAGACACCCCTTACAGTACTTGTCTCAAAAGATTTACTTGGTTCTTTAAAGTGCACATGAGCCAAATTGTGTTCACTGGGCCTACGTTCTGTAATCCTTTTACGAGAAGAGTTGTTCCACCACCAGAACCATAGACGAGAGTGCAGTTAGAACCAGCGCCAACATTATGGTTGTACTGTGCATTGCCATTCAGGCCATTCAATTCCGTATACAGAAAAATATTAATATATTGCTTACTGTACATTTTACATATTAATATCTTTAATTTTAGCTTTCAACTAAAAAATAAAATGGAAAAAGTTACATATAAAGAAATGATTCAATGAAAATAATAATAAAAAAAATACATTTATGATTGTCATGCTCATTAATTTTTTTATTCTTAAGATTGAGAAGGAGTTACATGAAACATGTTCTGAAGTTCTGGATTTGCTTGACAAGTATCTCATTCCATCTGTTGAAGAAAGCGAAAATGAATCTGCCGTATTTTATTTGAAAATGTAAGTAGCAATAAATTACCACAGCATGGTCATCTGATAGACTGAGGCAAACCCCTGTTGGGTTTGAGTGGCCACTCTCTTGTGGGGTGACCCCACTTAAGCTACAGTATTTATTTGAAGTATAAAATATAATCACAACTATTTTACTGTATCACTTAAACAAAAATCGCCCTAGTAGCAAGTCCTATGCAGGTATGTGGCCACTTTGCTTGCAGGAGTTCGATTGACCAGGCGTGAAATGATGTCTGGTGGAAACCTATAAATTTTTAGGTATTTAGATCTATGTAAATGCTTATTCGTCCACAATAATTCATATTTTTTTATCCCTCTATCCTTTTTTTCATCTCAATGCCCAAACCACTTGTGAAGACCAGGCCACGAGGCAGGGTTCATTCATTTTTAGACCAGTTTACAAACACAAAGCATACTTAAAATTAAAACAGTGCGTTACAAAAGATTGCACATTCACAATTACACCAGTTTCTAAATATAAGACACTGAGGTAAGGCTCACACCCAATTAGACCAGCTTATTAAACATATCCAGCCAATGTTTCTAGTAGTAATAAACTTCCATCTAGTGTTCAATATCCAGTGTAATAAATATGGTTTCCTACAGCATTACACTATGTAACCTAGCCTTGACATTACCATTGTTCGTATCTATCACAAAATATAACAAGGAAGCTGGAGTCCCACTTGGCCGTTTCTCATCGTATCTCCACTAAATATTGTTTTGAAGTTAATATTCACTGAAGAATATACAAGAAAATTTAATTTTGGTAATAAAAATAGTAAAGAACATAACAATAATTATAATGATAATGATGTGATGATGATAATACAATAGTTTACATTTTCAGTGCACATTGACTCTGTAAAACAAACAAAAACCTGAAGAAGCGTACCTACTGATGATAATTAACATAACAACAATAGTTTTACTACTTTATATGTTGTATTCAATGAAATTATTTACTGTATTGTATAATATATATAAAGTACAAAATGATATCAATATTTTTATTCAGAATAAGTAGTACATTGGAAATTACTATAATGCTTTTTTTTTTTTTACAAATTTAAGCATTTTGGCTCAGTTGTTTAAAATATTGTAGTATTTTGTTGTCTACATTAGAACCCTTTTAAGGGGGCAATTTGGGAGAAAAAAAAGTGTCACTGTTAATGGGGGTGTTCACTGAATAGGGGTTGGCTGTAGAGTTAAATGATATACTTTCTATCGGTTAATACTTAAAAAAGCGTACCCTCAATAGGGGTGTCCCAAAGGAGTGGTTCCATTGTATTTATATTTTACTACCTATCTTGATATTTTACTCAGGCCTACACACTTGGTAAATTTTAAAAAGAAATATAACCTTTGTATCAAACAGTAAATGTTTATTGAAACTGGAAGTACTTTCAGTTTTATTCTCAGTTCATTTAATTCCAAGAACATCCAGGCTATCAAATTGTGATGTGACATGCCTAAATATGATCATAATGACATCACGTCATTACCATATTCATGATGACATCACGTCATTACCATATTATAGGCACATCATGACTATGTACAGTATGGGCATACAACAGTTTTTTGTTTGCCAAAGAAAATTTGTGAGAGTGGATAAAGCACAAGGAGAAAATCATTGTCATTGTTTATTATAATCATTATTTATTTATTTATTTGTTTATTTTATTCCTTTCAGTCGTACAAACATTAAATATGCAAAATAAAAGAGGAGAACGTGCCTCTTTAACTCTAACTTTCATACACAGTACAAACATATAGATAACTTAAACCTGAATTGCAAACACTATTAATTATACATTAAAAGCCTAAAAAAAACCAACCAAAATCTCAAACCCTACCCAAAAATAAATAAATACCCGTAAATTCAAAATGGCCAATTATTTATTTTACATTTAAATTTGTTAAAACTTTATTATTGTTTATGATATATATATATATATTATTATTATTTATGATATATATATATATATATTATTATTATTTTTTTTCTATTTCACCAGGAAAGGTGATTATCTCCGATACCTAGCTGAGTTTAAACCGGTCGACAGCAGAAGCGAATACACAGAAAAGAGTTTGCTGGCTTACAAAGCAGCGATGGATAAGGCAGATGAGACTGAGGGGCGACTGTCATCCGCTCATCCCATCCGTCTAGGTCTGGCGTTGAATTTCTCGGTGTTCTATTATGAAATACTGAACAAGCCTGACAGAGCATGTAACCTGGCTAAGAAGGCATTTGACGAAGCTATAGATGAACTAAACGATAACCGAGAAAGTACTTTTAAGGACTCGACGCTGATCATGCAGCTTTTACGCGATAACCTAACCCTGTGGACAGCTGAACAAGATGGTGAGTTAAATATCTATTTGCTTAATTCAATTTGCGTAAAACAAAACTGGTGTGCACAGCAACGGGGCGGTGTTCACATTTATGCGAAATCGGCAGCGTTGGGGTTAACTGCTAAAAACAGGCCGCGAAAGACATTTTTTTGTGCTATGAAAATTGTCTGTGTAGGGTTATAAGTTTGGCACAAGCAAAGAAAGAACAAATAGGGTAGTGACTTTTTTCACACCCCCTCCCCCTTCAAATGCCCCAGAAGAAATGTAAAATGTTTTTGACTGTCTGTCACAGTCTCAAACTTTTTCCAGCTCTGGCTATGAAAGAGAGTGCATCAACCAGCTTTCCACCAACAAAACACAAAACAAATTTGAAGCAAAACATTAAAAAATGAGAATTCATCCCATATATCATGCATTACACCATATGATAACCACATTCATTTTTTTTTTTCAGAAGATGATGATGCTCTTGTTCAAGATGTTGATGGATAAAAGAATAAAGCAACTGAAAATGAATCGGGTTGCTTAGTGGCTGTAATTTCTCAATCAGTCAACTTTCAGTATATCATCATCGGTACTGTTTTTGTCAGTTTGTCTTATCGTTATCTCTTGTGATGTAATGATGGAGTCATCTTGATAGCAGACACAAACTAACATTATACATATAGGGATCAATATTTATTTTGCTTTGTTATGCTAATTTAATTTGTATTTTTTTTATTCAATAGAATTTTATATTAACTACGTCTATCTCCCTTATTTAAATTGGTTAAAAAAAAACGCTGCATTGGAAAGTGTGTATTTACAGTTTACTTTGCCATTCCACAAATATTCCCTATTTTCGTGAGATGCACACAAAAAAGCCTACATATCTACCAAATTGTGCCATGTAACCTAGTAAGTGTACAATGGAGCTCGGTGTGCATACTAACTATTCGAACAATTTGTAGCAGCGGTAACGTTTTGACCTCTCATCCATAAAAGGTCGTGGGTTCGAAATCCTGCACTCTCTATTTTGTGTTTTGTGCATTTTATCTGTGTTTGTCTCTCTCTACCCAAAATGTATTAAAACCAATAGAATGCAGATTTTCTATGTTGAATGTACTTGGTGTATACTGAATGGTAATGCGTTACTAGGAACCCTCACCAAAAAGCGAATGCATGACGCATTATTGTGTATGATTTTTACTATTCCCAATGAGCAGGTGACACTTGGAGATGTTTAGTGGAAAGCCCTACTTGATATATTGCACCCCAATAGATTATGCGTACCTACAAAATGTCGGATACCACCCCTAGTCTGCAAATGTTACTCGATGTAGTGAACGACAAAGAAAATATACTGTTTAGAAGTAAAGCCGGGCCCTCACTGTGCCCAACGGCCGTTGGCCAACTCAATTCTATGGAGAATGCAATGCCACGACGCACACATAATGGATCTTTTTTAATGACGATCCGTTCAGACTGCCACCAACATACACCAGACGGTGTCGCACCGTCTAACGCTCACAGGGAGCGAGTTGAATTTGCCTGTCGACGGTCGTCGTATGCTGCAGTGAGTACCCGGTTAAATACGGTCTACCTGTAGCTTTATTATTATTATTAATTAGTATGTAACTTAGAGTAAATAATTCATTACGGCGTATATAATCTATTTGCTTCTGCATTTTTTTTTTCGGGCAGCACTTCTGGCTACCTATTTACACTATCAAGTATTCTGTAGTAGATATCTGTGATTTGCCTATATGTGGGCATGATGTTGCCATATCACACCCATAAGTTCATGATGATGTAATATGACATCCTTATATGGGCATATCAAAAGTATTTCCCGCATAACATTTGATAGTGTAATTAGAGTTTAACAGATCAATATTTATACGACATCAGTATGAAAATACTGTGCCAAGTTTATTATAGTATTATTGGGTATTTACTAAAGCACAGTGCAAAAAAAAAAAGTTTTTGCTATAGTTAAGCATGAATGTGTTATTGGAATATGAAATTTGCCAGATTTAATAATAAGCTTTCCAGCCTAATTCTTTTCCTTTTTATAAAAAATACTGAATTCAATTACAGTATAGTGAAAGTGATTTTTATGCATTTATAAATTTTTAATTATTTTATCAGAATATATAAATTACCATCAAAGTATGAATATCTGAAATTGTTTAAAACCAAAGGATCCACTGATTATTCGCAAATAGAATACTAGTATGGTGATTCTGAAAAATGACAGACATGAGGCCATAATTGATTCTACGTTTCATTCTTTATTAGAACATTTTCAAGACTTTTTTTACATTTGTGTAGTATGGGTGAAGATTGGGGTCCCACCATTCAATAACACACCTTTAAAATTATTTTTTGCCTAACATGGGCATAATACCTGTGTTCAGACTACAGTTTTACCCCATAGTAAGTCGAGGCTATATATAATCGTCCAAACTTAGCTGACACTACTATATCCAATTACTGCTCAAAGTAAAACGCTGTTTATATTTGGAGGCTATCTGAATAATTACTAGTCGCTCTTTATTGTTGTAGCAATACAGGAGTGGATTATGTGTTCACATTCTCTTGGAATTATTCAACAGCGGCATATACCATGCTTCCCTTTCTAATAAATACCACCAGAAAGACCAATAACTTGACTTTCCAAACAATTTATGATGGTTAAACAAATAAACTGTTGTATTACTTAAATATCTGATATTTCAGTGGATGACCAGAAAAGTTATATTAATGTATTACTTTACACTGATGTTTCCCATTCAATATTTATTTTCAAATAAATTCATTATTTATGTATCTGGCCAGGGAATCTGTTTTAATTAATCCCTTGTAATGTAGAAGAGGAAAATAGAAGAGCGTAGATTTAACCATAATAATATTCCTACTTTAGTTGTGGTGATATATTTTCATATATTTAATTTGTTTAAGATAAATGCGTTTTTTAATATTGTAAACAGTTAGTGTGTTGTTGTATGTGCGTTTATATTATTTATCATTCGTTCATTTGGCGTTTTACTTATAGTTGCAGTAATGTCTCTCATTTTAGTGTTGCACTATGTATCCCAATTTAGGTCAGGTTGAAGTGTTAGTATTTGTTTATATATATTATACAATTAGTTGGTTAAGGTGTACGCATATAAGCAAGGGGCCCAAGTTTGAGGCAGCATTTTTTTAACTCTTGCAGATCTCTCTTTTAAGTTAA